TGCCTACAAAACATCTGGACAGTGGTGATTCTAGGAACAACATATAGGGGGGCAAATAAAATACCACAGTCTAAACGGGGGGGTGGCACTAATAATTTCCACTTGAGGGGTGGGGGGAGGGTGTAACATGCCGCCATTGGTGCCAGCATGCTGTGTGTTCTGGTATCAGACAACTAATTTGCACAGAATTCCCATTAGCCGCCTAGAATTCTTGTTCTGGGCTGGCTAAAGACACCTCTTAATTTGTTGTAGTTTAGTAGATAACTCCCCTATTTACTACCTTTATGTGGGATTGCCATACTCAAGCACACCAAATTAGGGGGCTATCTTCTAAACAGCGCCCTAATTTGATATCCTTCAATAGTGAAATTCTACATAAGGATACAATATAGGGCAGGGATAGGCAACCTTTTTCACTCCAGATGCTGTGGACTACATCTCCTATAATGCTCTTACAGCCATATTTCTGTCAAAGCATCATGGGAGATGTCGTCCACAACATCTGGAGTGCCGAATGTTGCCTATCCCTGATTTAGGGAGTTATTTACTACACAGATAAGAGATCAAAATTTTAAAAAGCCCATGCCCTTTTCTTAGTTTTGGCCTTTCTGTTGTTTAGAAGATAAATCCCTCATTTGCTATCCGTATGTGGGATTGCCATATTTAAGTATGTCAATCTAGGAAGCTATCTACTAAACACACATTTTTATGACAACACAAACATAATCATAGACAAACACATACAGTGACAGACATACACACAGATAATCACATCCATACACACCCACATTTTTTATTTATTAATTTTAATGTCCACCCAGCCTACCTACCATTCTCTGGAAGGGCTGGAGTGGATCCTCTCCCTCGTGGCCAGTGGTTGCTGCTGAGATCACTGTGCTCTCTCTGCCCAGGTCCCATGCGCACCCTGTCGTGACGCCAATTCCAGAATGACGTGATAACCCTGCTGTCGGCACACTGCAGGCTTCGCAAGGGAGCTGTGCAGGGAGAACACAGTAAGTACAGAGCTTCTTCATTGCCTGTTCTCCACACCACGACCACTGAGATTTTGACAGGGTAGGCATCTGCTGCATGGGTAAGCAGGTGCCTACTGTGCCAAGTACAGTTTATGGCTGAACACATAACGGTTTTCCCTAGAGCCCTGCTGCTTTTCAGGGGGGTAGCATTTAATAATCTAGGGGTGGGGGCAGTTGCGACACCATAAATTGTAGACCAGTGGTTCTCAAGCTAGTCCTTCAATCTGTGAATATAAACCCAGGATGATATCATTGCCCTCTTTTTCTTGGGGACTATTCACTAAAGGGTGAGTTTTGTTAAGTTGACAGTTTAAATGGTAAAATGTAAGTCAAAACACCTGGAAAATTATACAGCATGACTGTATTGGCACTTGAGTGTCAGATTTCTGTTGATTGATTAACTCTGTCTGTTTGCTGTTGTGACGCTGGAGGAATGGGCCTTGACAATTGCCGTGTTTACTGTGTATTGCAGAAGGTTTAGGGAGGCGGAATGTAAACAGATTGCTTGAGGATGATAATAGCAGTTACAGTGTAACAGACAGCTGCGGCTTCAGACTCAGGGCCGGATTTCATTACCTAGAATAAAACGTATCACTGGTTTTATCTCCTAATTCTCTCATGGACTGTAATAGAAGATGTGTTGATAACAAGAAATGATACCGTGTCCACGAGTATTACAATAGAAATAAAATAAAACCCCTGTTTACAGCTCCATTCCTACATATTAAAGAGAGAAAGGAGAAATGATCAGCACTTCAGGCAACAACTATATCAAGTTATTTGATAAAACGAGTTATATTTAACAGCGATCTAGAACAATCCTGAGGTAAAGCCGTGATTCAGTGCAGATGTGAGGGAGCACAATATGACAACATTTACCTTTTTACAATAAAAACTGTCAGGATTTCCAAGTGAATTTCAAATTTAATGCCAAAGTACCCAAACTGATTATTTCCAGTTCTCATACTTTGAGTTTAAGTTTTAAATTATCTTCTTTTGTGATTAACCCTGTGTATGTCATGTATGTCCTCAGTTGTTGTAGAACAAAAACTCCCATGCTGCTTTGCCACTCTTAAAGGGGACCTAAAGAAATAAAGGTTCACCCTCAGGGCACTTTAGTGCCAGGAAAACGAGTATGTTGTCCTGGGACTATAGTGGTCCTTTAAGAATATTGCGCCTTTGGATTTTCTCATGATTTCGTTGAATTTGTGTGGGGGATTTTTTGAACTTTTGCTCCCATAACAGGCTGCATGTAAATATTTGGCACTTCCTTTTTGGCACATAAGCTATTTCTAAACAGTGTTTAAACATTTAAAAAAAAGTGTGATATACAGCCAAGATTAATCCACACAAATGTTTAGTAGGTAGCAGGGGGAGCAACTGACATGGACTGTTAAAAATATTAGAAGAACTGTATTATAGCTTTATGGCTTAAAAAAAAAATGTGTTTGTTTTGGCTTGCTTATGTACAATTGGTACATGTACATTGTCTTCGTCAAGGTCAACAGCTGGTACTGAATACATCTCCCACATAATATACTGAAATGTTGGCAAGTTTATGGGGCCCATAGGCTCGTGGGGCCCCTGGGCAACTGTCCATCGTGCCCATGTGTTAAGACAGCCCTGAATTGGGGGCACACCTGGCACATGCATTTCTCGGTAGTGGTGCTGCTGACCGAAAAAGACCAAAATATATACAAAATACAGGTTAAGGAACAGCGCTCACACAAATATAATACAGTTTTAAATTTTATATGGCTAGCCAAGCAAACACATTCAGTTTCACCATATGGCCATATTGTGTTAAGCCCACCAGGAAGTATACCAAATGAGATGTGATCTCTTAACTAAATTTAGTAAATAAGAGAATTGCAAATTCAGTTACAATCAAGCTATTTTAGCCAGATTTTGCTGCATTTGCAATTTAGTTAATAAACCCCAATGCGATTTCACATTAGGAACCGTTTCATGTTACACTCTACCCTCTAAATTGTGTTCCTTTGTTTTATTTCCAGAAAATGTTTTGTGCAATCAATTGTTTCTGTGCCAAGCAACTAATACTGATTTGACAATCCATTGTCCTTGTCTGCCATTCTTCCACACCCATCCATTAATAGTAATTAAACATTTCCCACTCCAGCAAACTATGGACTACCTCCCAGGGCCAAGTCAGAACAGGATTTACCTGACATGGCTGAAATGAATATTTATTCAGTTGTTTAGGTACTTGGTACTTAAGAGGGAGATTCCTATATTCTTCACTTTTCTGAAGACCTGCAACCTATGATGAATAGTATGTGACGAATATCATGAACACTGTCTAATCTTATCCCTCTGGCAATGGCTTCATGGACACTATACATACTCATTATTGTCTAGCCGCCTTCTCAACCTCAGATTCTTCAACCTGTCAGTATGCCAGTCCTGGCAGGGAGAACATATAGACCAGGGGTTCCCAAAAGGTAGATCCCCAGACTATGGGCCAGCCGATGCACAAGCCCACACAGTACTGGGCTAGCAAATATCGTGCACAATTCCTGTCTGCTGCAACACTCCCGCAGTATTCTGTCATGAACCATCATATCAAACCTTTTGCTACTATTATCGGGGTACTTTAAGCACCATAACTACTACAGTGTGTTGTAGTGGTTATGGTGATAGGAATCCTCTGGTGCAATTTGGCCATATGTTGTCAAACCAAGCATTTGCCCTTCTGCCACCCTTGCCTGGTAATAATCACAAAAATGATTAGTTCAAAGCTTCCTAGGAACAAAACAATAAGCAATAGTTAATAGTCCTTATAGTGCCTGGACTGTGCCTTTAATTTGGATCACCTCTACATATCAAACCCCTTATTCCCCAAGCCCAAAGGTTTATTCAGTAAATTTTTAAAGGAACACCCCAAGCACTGTAATGGTTATGGATCAAGGCGTGTCCTGGTGCCCGCCATTGTAAGAAGTCAAACCGATTTAGAATGCTAACAGAACCAGGAACTTCTGGCTCTAACTGAGCTGTAGTAAAAGTGGAGTGCAGCACCCAGTGGCCCCTGGGTAAAAAGTCAAACCATTCTAAAACTGTTGCATGCTGTATTGGTTATTGTGCATGGACTGGTCCTTTAATTGTAGCAAATAAAAAATAGCTGATTTGGAAAATATTACAGATCAGTTAGTCGCAGCTTGGCTATTTTAGCCTCCATTTTGCTTTGGGATTTCAATTCACTACCATCATTAACAAGTCATTAACAAGCATGGAACTAGATTTACAGGCTTGGTAATTGCTTCTACAACAATGGCGCTGATGGTGGCTTTTCTGGCTTCTGTGGCTCTGTAGAGGCTGGAAGCGCGTCACCAGGGCGCATAAGAGTCTGGCAAGGACGCAGGTAAGAGTATGGTGAACTGCTGTTTTCGCCATTACTGTGGAGACAGGCCAGTGTACTCCTCTTATTATAGCCATTACAGCAGGCTGTAGTGGTTATGGTAATTCAAGTAACCCTTTAAGTATAGGGAATGTTATATATGGCTTTTTAAAACCAAACATTACCATCACACAAACCCAGGTATAATCAATTCCACCAAAGATGTTCCCCACCGGGGAGTACTGGGTAATCCTAAACATTCACTTACAGAAATATCAGTTATGATTGTGACAATACGATCTACCCTTCAGTCACTTCTTCAGCATGCAATGCCTTTCAGCATCTATACAAATCTTTATTTAGTAACAACGACTACATAGGCATGGCTTTATCTTAAATCTGTCCTTCAGAGTGGTTTGTTTTAATTATTTCGCAATTGATTTTTGCTTTGTGAGCAGCATTGAGCTTCAGCTAATGTCATAAGTATCACCCTGAAATCATGATGTGTCTGCAGCCTTCAAGTGTCAGAGCTGGACAGGCCTGTTATGAATAGTAAACAAGGGGAATGCAATAAATAGCAACACTGCAAATGTTCTAGTGATCACATCATTGTTACATTAGGTGTGCTATATTCAGGGCAGGCACTACTGCAAACTAGCAAGCCTTGAGGGCAATGCGTGGGCTCCTGGCGACCATCAGCAGGGGAGCGCATAGCAAAGCTCTCCCCCTCCAGCCAGTCACTCTTGTAGCGTAACCGCGCAGACTGCGGTAGAGGATCTTCTGTGTCCTCTACCTGGCTTGACAGGAAGTGCTCGCTGGGAGCACCGAACAGATTCCTCTCAGACTGAATATAGGGTACGGAAGATCCTCTACGCATGATCTGCACAGCCAGGCTACACAGGATGAGCAGGTGCGCATGGGGTTGAAGAGATAAGACACACACCGAGGGGCTGGGGAAGCGGACAATGACACACACACACACAGAGGGCCTGTAGAAGGGGAAAAATAGACATGTAAAGGGGCTGAGGGAGAAAGAAACACACAAAGGGGCTGGGGGGAGAAAGCGACACACACAACTGGGCTGGGGAAGTGGGGGAAAAAATACACAAAAGCGGTTGGGGAAGAGAGACACAAAGTTTGCCAGTTTTGTTTTGGGGGAGTACAAGTAGCTGGTCTTGCCTAGCGTGAAAAATAGTCTATCACAGGCCCTGTCCACATCAACTTAAAAAAAAGGGACTAGCTTTGGTTTGTAGGTATATATAGTAAAGAAAAAGATTGCATTTGTCTATGTCTGTGATGGCTAAAAGGGTAAAAGTGGTTCCACATATATCCCTGAACTATATTTCCCATCATATACAGCCAGCTCCATTGGAAAGGCAGTTCAGGAACGTAAGCCTATTACTGGTCTAGGCAGGATAGGAAAATATACAAAAATCTGTTGAAACTCAAGGGATGAATATACAAAACATAAAACTTTTATTTAAAATAAACTCAGGTACAATATAAATACCAATGAGGCTACAGCAACGGAAAAAAAACCCTACAAAAATAAAAAGTCCCCCAAATTTATATGCCACCCTGCAAAAAATAAATAAATATATAAGCAGTTTAGGAACCTGTATCTTGAACACCTTTTGTGTAGTCATGGGAGCGAGGGAGTGTGTGTGTTTATACAGGTATCTAGGGGTCTGAATATAAGGTGTGGACTGCCCTCTGATCTTAAGGATGATTGATGTGTAACTGTCATTAGAGAGTGCAGGAAACAATATGTGTGTCTCTCTATGTACCTACCAACTCCAGTAACCATGTTTACAGCCAGACCTGCCCCATACTAACGTCAAGCTCGTCAAGTCTTTATGGTAACTAGTTACATTGTTACCAACAATAAACATCACTTGGAAAAGCAAAATTTGGTATTTACAATTTTCCATCCCATTGTTTTATTTACGTGGTTCTCAGAATTTCAACTATAGAACCCTTTTTAAATAATAAAAAAAGCCATTTCGATATATCTGTGATCCAATGCACAGTCACTAGTAGGATTGCCTATATTAAATTAATTAATTAGCAGGGCCCTCAATTAGGAGCTTGGGCACTAGGCCCATCAGCAGGTAATGTCAATATTAGAAAGCAATGTTTAAAATACAATTGAGCATTTATTGGAGTAGATAGGAATGTACAGTCTATATGTGAAAATGCTACCACGTTTCAAAGTCATTAAACATATAGCTAATGAGAAGTATGGGATTGAACAGCCACCAAACGTCAGTGCCGGAATGTGATATAATCCCACCACCCACCCCTAAAGCAAAATAAATTACATGCATATTTCTTTTGGAATTACATCTTCTAAATTGTCATTTATTTATTTTCATTTCTTTTTTTTTTTTTTAATTGAGTATTTCTTTAAGATGTGCCTCTTCTCCCTGTGAAATAATATCATCATTTTAAACTGACCAGTTCTGCAGTGTTTAGACAATCTCTGTTTGGTGCCTAACTGCCTATTACAAATAATATCTGTCAATTTTAACTCGCTGTCCCATGCATTTGAAAGGAACACAATTAGGTCCCCCATGTGTCAAATAAAACCCCCCAAAATAAACTAAAATCATATTACTCACCTTTTCTCAAACTCCTCCTCGGGTTTCGTCATCCTGGAGACGTGCCTCCAAAATGATGGGCCATTCCAATGCTTCTCAGAGAAGCATTGGTTAGTTTCGGCGCATGCACAGACGTTATGGTATGAGAACTGGGAAGTAATATTCCCGGCTCTCATATCCAGAGGACTTGGAGCTGTGCTTTCAAATCCCCTAATTAGTGAAATAGAGGGTTTGGGTGGGTAGGAGAGGGCGCACAACTGAACGCACTATCACAGCATCCCTAACATTAAGGTTAAAGTGCCTACAAATGTCCTAATAATGTTTCACACATGGCAATTAAGACAATTTAAGTCTATTTTACAATAGGCAGTTTGTGCTCTCTTCACTAAACAGTGAGCTGTGGTACAGGCAGAAATAATTTGGTGGTTACCATAGTTATTTCATAATAAATGTTGCAAATATGATTCACTCCTTCCAAATGCCCTGGATCCATTAGTACCATACCTATTTGGAACTCTCTCTTTTATTTTCCTTTTTTATCATCTGAGTGGGACTGTTTTCAAATCACTGTTGAGTGAATATGCCCCTGTGTGTCATAGACCTCTAGATCTGTATCCATTGTCTCAATATTCCTTTTCAATATTCCTTTTCAATGTATTTTTGGCTTTGATTTGGTTTCGTTTTTGCAAACAGATCTTTTAATGTCTATTTAGAATTTTTAAGTAACAAGTTCAACCTTAAAGGGTCATTGTCACTTCTCTGGAAGAGACAGTTCCTCAATCATTTAGCTCAGTAAACATTACTGAATCGTTTACTGGGGTGAGGTTGTTAAATGTACTTAGCTTTGCAGCACTTGCGTATGTGTGCAAAGTCATTGTTCCATAATGATTTGTTGAGCTTCAGATTCCTTCACTCCTTCCATAGTGCTACACCCTGGTGTTGTTGCCAAGGACAAAGCACCATGGGGGTTAACTTCATGAACACTAACTTAACTACCCCAATGTAAACCCCCATTCTAACCATAGCAGGAATGCCCTAAACCCCAACCCCTCTTGAAAGTTGACGGACAACATCTTTCCAAACTGGATAGGGAATCCATTACAGCTTTTCATCATTAAACTTATTTATCATTATTATACAGAACTTGCCAGCAACCTTAATAAAAATACAAAATCTCAGCCAACCAACAGACGTTTCATTAATTACATTAACCCAGAGTACAAATAAGTCACACTTCCACCATCAACCCTCCCTACAAACTGGCTCCTCAAGCTGATAAGAGGCAGAGTTTCTTCTTACAATACATGCTGAGGTGGCAAGGAGTACCACCACTGCAATGACAGCTCCAGTTACATGGAACCGCCTTTGCCACCCCTCCCCTGAAGCCAGCGCAGGCTCAATTCCAATTTGCAAACCAAATTAAAGATGACCGTGCTCTGAAGTTGGAGGTCGCCCTAGATCCAACCAAAATCCACCAGCCACTGCAGGGTCATCAGCAAGGACAGCTTAGAGGCATGTATTTGAATGTGAAGACTAGTAAGCAGCCAACATCTCCAACAGGAGATTTTACCAGTGCTGCCATTTTCAAACAATTGAAAGAAGAAACAAGGAAAAGGAAGGAGGGAAAATCAGCGCTCAACTGCCACACAAATAGATAAAAAGGCAGCACTACTCAGAGAGGAATCCCCTATAATCCCCCAGATAATAGAAGATAAAAACAAGTAAAAAGGATAAGAGTGCGCCTAAAAATGTATACAGAATATAAAATGATATAGAGTATAAAAAGTAATAAAATAAAGTCCAGAACACTTATCAAGAGTCCATAATAATAGGTTCTTGTAGGAAGACACAAAATCTTTGGACGTCTGGCGGTGTGGAATCTTCACAATGGTAGGCTCGAGTCCAGTGGAGAATATATAAAAGGGAAACAGAAAACAGGAACTCCAATGGTACAGTATATTAATAAAAATAAGATTCAAGAATAGTGAAAATAGCCGTACTCACACTTTTCAGAGCTAAATTATAGCTCTGATATTATGCGCATGAAGTGGAATGATCCCCACTCAAGGATATGCAGGAAAATTATTTGATTGGAGGGTTTCTGGCCCAAATTCGATGTTCAAATTAATATTACTCGACCCAAAATGAGAGAAAAAGGAATATAGTGCTCTCTGTATAAAATTAAACGTGAGAATATAAAGTAGATAACTTACATACTCTAGAGCAGGCTCATACTGCTCGGTGTAGACGCTTGGGTGGTATGTTCCCCACCTATGGATTCTTTAAGCTCCTTGTGGATATAGGTCAGGTGCAAAATTAAAATAAATTTAAAAAAAATAAAAAATAAAAAAATAAAAAAAAATTAAAAGATAATAAATGGCAATAAAATGTCTTATGCCAGGGGGCGGGGCCTGGCAGCCATGCTGACCGGTCGCATGCTGCAGAGGCTCCTGCTGAGCTTGGCTTTTTAAGCAAAATTTATAGACTCACTGCGAATACTTAAGCTGTGTAATGTACCCAAGGGTGCAAGTAGCTGTTGGTGACACCGTGGACTCCAAGATCGGGAGTTTTGAGGGCCCTTTGGGTGGTACAAAGCTTTGGAGAAGGCGGCCTACTCGGGAGAGGAGCGGGGCAGACGGCCGCTGCCCTGTTTGCATGCCTGACAATCACCCAACGGCTATGTGATACCCCTCACAGGCCCTGGTCCCCCCCCCATGGACCGGCGGGGGTTATCCCGGTCCCCACTGGAGGCAGCCGACACTGAGTGGGCCATCTGTGCAGAGATTCTCAGCCAACGAACCTCAGCGCCCGACCAACAAGATGGCGGCCGCATGGCACCCGCTGGGCCCGACAGCGTTACCAGCACTCATATGGCTTCCTGGACCATGCCGCCCCAACTCTTAACCCTGGGCTATTGTTGCTACTACAACCTGCTAAGCAGCGGAGCTGCCTCATCTGACCAGCCCTCATATCAAAGTCCGGTCCTAGCAGCTGCCAACTTGGGCCTAGAGCACCCTGACGACAACCCCCGAACCACAGCCCGATGACATCTCACCTGGGAATCCCGATATTGACCATCCCTGGCAGGGGAACCGGAGGCACAGGTGACAGGCGCACATGGAGCACGGGACTGGCAACAACCCAACTTTTCACAGGGCTTGCAGGTCGGACACGAGAAGAGGCAGGAATGAGTCCGTAAGATCCAGCAGGACTGTCTATATGTCATCTGCGGCACACAGAGAATGGCGCCTGGGGGGCTGCGTGGCCTTGAGAGACTCCAGTGGCACATTTTAGCTTCAGTGCAAC